CCCCAAAACCCCAAAACCCCAAAACCCCATCTTAATAAAATTAATCGAATTTCTTCATAATGTCACTATCCTCTAATACTTCAGCAGTGAAATCTAGTGAAATCTCTACTGGGAAAGAACTTAAGAGGAGTGTAAAGCCTAACAAGCTTAGAGCTAAAGAATACAGAAATAGAAAGAAGAATTATCTGACTAAGCTTGGTAAGACAAATACAACTATCGATATAAATGGAAAGAAGCGAATCAAAAGTCAATAGAACTTATTTGCCCTCTAGATTTAATTTAAAAGATAGAGCGGGAAACTTCATGTCGCCATGCTTCACAATTACCCCAATTCTGGATAAATTTTGGCCAATTTTGTTCCATTTACCTCGATTCATCACATTTTAACATTTGATATCTTTATAAAGCCAGATTTTAGAAGTTTATGAAATCAAAAAATTACATTAAAATTATCCAATTCTGATTAATAAGAGTATGAACCTATAGAGGAGATCAACAAGAAGCTTTTAGAAGAGAATTCAATGCTAAAATAAACAAATATGGGAGCTAAAGAAGGAGCTAAACACATGAAAGTCTGGAGAAGAACTCAAGGATAGCCCTAAATTAAGAATAGAACAAAATGAAAAATTCGCATTTGTAAAGATACTAGTCTTAACTTCTCCATCTTTTAACCTGATCTAATCTTTTTTAGGCTTCCTTGCCTAAGATGATCAAAGAAGATCCAGAGAACATCAGGCACAGTCAAATAGAAATGGCCTTAAATGATCTGAGCGAGTGGGCTCCTGATAGAGTGGAGATTATTAAGAAAGCCTTTGACGATATTTTAAATTACATGGTAGCAAAAGAGAACAAGTGCATACTTGCAACTGTGAAGAAAATGAATGTCTCTCAATATATTTAATAGACTCGGAAGAAAGAGAGTTATTAAGAATAAATGTAAAGAACTTGATGAGCCAGGCCCAGAAGAGATAGCCCTCAACCTAAATTTATCTGATAGCTTGATTGAGTACTTTAAAAATAATGGACAAGGGTTTTTACAAACTTCTCGAATCTATAAGAAGCTTGCAAGGCAGTTGATAACTGTCAGAAATGCTATTCTTCAGGCTGGTCAAGAAAAACAAAAATATTATGAGAAGACGAACATCTTGCAATCTCGCGCTAAGCAAGACTTTTATGCTATTACAGATTTGATCAAAATGCTTGACGATAGCAAACATCTTTCTCCTCATAGTTTGTGGGAACTCCCAGTAAGAGATCCAGCTTCAGATTGTTATGAAGGATGTGAGCTCTCTGAATAGCACTAGTTTGAACATTCTTACAGTTTAAAATCTAGATTCAATGCTAAATTACCATTTAGGGGTTTTGGGGTTTTGGGGTTTTGGGGTTTTGGGG